TAGATAAGCGTAAGTTTTGCTGATGTGATTTTCGGCATGAAAAACCATTTTAGCTCATTAGATTATAAAATATTAATCTGATCACTCATAATTGGGGCAATTCTTTGTGGTAGATATTGGTGTTATTTTTCATGCTACTCTTAAGTTATAGATGGGTCTGGGCTCTCGAATGTACTATCATACTCAAACCACAACTCATGTACAGGGCGCGCCATTTGGAGTACTAAAAACATGGATCGGAAAAGTGTGTGTGCCCGGGCGGGGTGGAGGTTGCCCAGTAAGCCCACACCAATACCGACCTTAATAAATCAATTAATAAAGATCAAAAAGGGAAAAGGCTAGGGGGCAGGTATGACAGTAGGCGGCTAAAAGGATACAGGCGGGAGATTAAATAATGTAACAATTAAGCTAGCAAGGGCGAATGGAAAATACCTCGGGCCGGTACGCAAGGCGGAATGGGCAAACAGGGCTAAATGTACACAAACGGCGTGCGTCGAGGGGGGCGGTGTCGCGCGGTATAGTTTCTCAAGGGCCCGCCTTATGCCTTGGGTTATCGCGTACTTTAATACTGCTAGCCTTTTGCGCCTTTTTGATTTTATTAATGTGATTTATTAAGTATTTGTGTGGGTTACTGGTTTGTCCGATCCGTGTTTTTAGTTTACTGCCAAAATGGCCGGCAGCATATAGGGAAGCCTATTAGCTACTGGCCTATCGATCGTATGAGTGGTTACGGCGGCGAGTGTGTGTAGTAGCAGCCTTGGCTAAGGCGTCTAAGTGAGTGCCAGATATACCAATAGACTACCACGAATAGCTATGAACGTTATTGCATGTGAATCTCTAATAGGGGCGTAGTACTTGAGAGAGGCTCACAATGCGCATGCGCACAAACGGGCTACATGTTCTCGGCAGTACTTGAGACAGCAAACACTGTTCGGTGGGGGCATGGCATAATCACAGCTACCTTATGTACAAAATAAGACTCGTAGTTCCTCCGGGGCATTTCCGCTGGCACGGTGTGTTCTTATAAAAGGTATTTTGAAAATAGCCTCGCAATGTGTTGAAATTCTCCGATGTTGTTGCCAGTTTGCCCACTTTGATCGCCAAGGGCAAGCCCGGCAGCGGCCTGGCAGGCGGTGCTGGGCGGTACAGGCGGTAGGGCGGCAGCAAGATAAAAACATGTGCCACGGCGTCCAACGGGTCACCATCATCGAGCCTATATTGTTATGGCAAGCAGGTCGGTGGGCGTTTGCGGGCCCAGAATGCCGAGTTTTCTCAGGCCTCTTCTTGTGGGTTTTAATGCAAACGGCTAAAAGTGAAATGGGAGGGCAACTAGAGTTTCATTTTGTCCTAAGGTAGTGTTGATTATGGCATGAGCACGAAGGTCATTTGCTAGTCTTAGAACTAGTACTGGAGAAATTAGACGGGCGTTTTGGATGCGGCATTGTGAGCCTTTAACTAGCATCCCGGCCGCATAAGGCGTGGGCGAACTGCGTAGCAGTATGAGTATAGGTAGCGCGAGTAACCTCCATAACATTACGAGGTTTTAGGTGCTGTGGCAGGTTAGGCTCCCTCCAAACGCAATATCGTTATCTGTTCGTTGGT